CACAAGTATCTAAGAAAAGGCCCAAAGGCAGAACTAATCTCACTTACAGCTTCTGTATTTTCCTTGTGCAGCCTGGCTGAGAAGCAGAGATCCTCATAGCCATTGGCTTTAGCAAGCCGGAATGAGGAGACCACAGAGAGCTTCACACCGATTGGCTAACAATACTGACCATAAGAGCCGAAGTGAATTTTACTGGTGTTAACTGAGAAGTGAGTTGATTGAGGAATGCTGTTAATGTGCAGTTCCTCCCTGTAGGGACAGACTTACTAAGCCCAGCACCTCTGATAGATGAAGGGCAGAGTTCTGGGTGGCTATGAAGAGAACTTCCTTCGAGGAGTATAGCTCAGGCCCAGGAGGAAACTAAAAGAGCTGACTGACAGAGCCAAATGAAAGAGGTCCTTTGACCACCGGACCTGCCAACCAGCCCCAGAGGATGGTGAATGGGACTAAAAGCTGGTCAGAGTTATAACCATAACACAGCATCCTTAGTGAGTGTTGTACAAGGTATCAAGTAACCCTGAAAAGGGCCAGGATTGGCCACCAGCTAAGAGGAGCAGAAAACAAAACCTAGTTGGGGAATTGGTACAGAGCAGCCCTTGACCCTATCTTCATAAGTAGGACCAACAGAAAATAACAGGTGATATCAGTAGAAGACATGGGTAGCTTTTCAGCTGCAGAGGAACAATGTGCCCTTCCACATGCTTTGGTAACACATACTACCTGCATGTAGACTCTGGTTGCACGTGTTCCCAATTCATGATCCTTATGAAGGGCCACTCCTCCCACTGAGTTTATATATTTATAGGATATGTGTGTCTATGTATTTGTATGAAAGTAAACTTAAAGTACATGGCGGGGAATGTTGTTTAGAGTTCTATTTATTTTTTAAAGTCTGTTTTAAGAATTGTGTAGCATATGACTGAGTATTAAAAAATGTAACACACAAGGATGTGATCCACGGTTGGGAGAAGATTTTTATCTAAAAAATATCCAGAACCAAAAGTAGCTAGCGTAAAGAATGGGGGGGGTGTGTGGAGAGGACAGACTACACTTATATTAAGCTAAATTTGCCTCTTCGTAAACTCTCACAAATCCCCCTGACCTTTACCCTATCCCTAACTCATTGCTCTTGGTTCTGCCCTCTAAGGCCAAGTGGAGGAAGTCAAATCCTTCTTTTATGTAAAAGACCTTTAAATATTGAAGTTAATTATTATGAGTCTATTACATATTTCTTTTTAGGCTAAAATTTCCCATTTCCAGTTCCTACAACTGGTTCTTATTTTGCAGGATTTCAAGGCTCATTACTATGGTTGCCTTCCTCTGGGTCCTTTTTTTTTTTTTTTTTTTTGGCAAGGCAATTGGGGTTAAGTGACTTGCCCAGGGTCACACAGCTAGTAAGTGTAAAGTGTCTGGTCTGAAACCAGATTTGAACTCAGGTCCTCCTGACTCCAGGGCCAGTGCTGTATCCACAGCACCACCTAGCTGCTCCTGGGTACTCTTTCCAGGTAACAATGTCTTTCCCAAAACATACCCCAAATTGATCATGGCAGTCTAGAATGTGATCTGATCAAGGTGTGGAGTTAGGCAGAACTATCAACTTCCTAGTCTTATACTCCTTCCTCCCTCCCTCCCTCTCTTCCTTCCTTCCTTCCTTCTTTTTCTCATAGTGAATAGAGTGCTGGGCTTAGAGTCAGTAACACCCGAATTCAAATCTAGCTGCAGACACTTACTAGCTGTGTGACCCTAAGTAAGTCACTTAACTTCTGTTAGCCTCAGTTTCCTCATCTGTAAAATGGGAATAACAATAGCACCTACTTCTCAGGGTTGTTGTAATGATCAAATGAGGTGATATTTATGAAGAAGCTCTTGGTCTAGTGCCTGGCACATGATAGGCACTATAGAAATGCTATTACAATCATTATTATTATTAAGCTTCTCATAAGCCAGCCTAAGGTTATATTAGTTTTTTGGCAGTTATATTGTACTGTTGACTTATATTTGCTGAAACCCCCATATCTTTTTCAGTTGAGCTAATAGTTACATATGTCCCATTCTTTGCCTATGAATTTTTTTAAAACTAGTAAGAATTTACACTTATCCTTATCAGTGTTACTTGCTTTGGTCCAGCATTCTAGCATTCAAGATCAAGATGATGTGATGTTGGGTTTCTTGAGTGGGATATGGAAGAAAAGGAATATATATATATTTGGCTATTAACTCATTGTGGCTATGATGACCACAAATGTTCATGTTAGTTTCTGTAATGGGGATATTTATTTAGATGTTGTGGGAGGGAGCACTTTATAAATGTAAGCTATGATTATGACAAGAAGAAATGACTCCTTGATTTCCCTGGATCCATGTAGCTAAAATATTTTGGGAGTGAGAAAGAATTGACTTTGTTAGTCCCCTGTCTACCCAAAGAGGAACTAATTCCCCCATTGCATCTTTAAAGATTTATCCTGTTTCCTTGGGCTAAGGCATACACACCAATTAGATGTTTATACTGTTTTTCACTACCATCACTCAGTCAAAAGTCCCGGAATTATTTTCTGCTTCTTGTCTATAGATAGAATTTGTTCCAAGGCTCCAGAACCCAAGGTTATTGAACTTCATCCTTTTTTATTCAAGGTTATTTCATCCTGGCCAAGAGTCTAATTCCTTTAATTCAGTCAACAAATAACATTAAATAATTGATTACCAGAGCAACTTCTTAACTTTATGCCATGTCTCATTTAGAGGAAATATGTTTTTTTTTCCTTCTTTAAGTCATGATTCCAAGTGCATAGGTAGCCTGAGGTTATTTCAGGACTAGTTGACTTCCTTCTACCCACTTGGTGATACTCTGCAGTGTGATATCTCTTGTGTTACAGTAGCCTAAGCATTTGAAAATTTAAAAGAAAAGTACATTAACATTTTGGTGTTCAAGATCACAATGCTGGATTCTCTTTGGATTGTGTATAAAGTTACTTTTCCAAAGTAACCCAGAAAACTTGTGCCAGATTTGGAACTACAACAACACTTAACACTTTTCCTACATGGAGGCTCAGGCACAGTTATGAAAACACTTAGTATTCCATGTTACTAGGCCATAATGAGAATAAAGTCTGACAGCTGGGTCAAGCCAGCTGAATAGAGTGCTGGACCTTGAATCAGGAAGACCTAAGATTCAATTCTGAATCAAATACTTATTATCTGTGTGACCATAGACTGGTTACTAAACCTCTGCCTCAGTTACCTCATCTGTAAAATGGGAATAATTGTAACACCTGTCTCAAGGGTTGCAGTGAGGAGAAAACAAAATTTTATATGTAAAGTGCTTTGCAAACCTTAAAGCACTACATAAATGTTGGCTGTTACTGCTACTACTACTACTACTACTGCTGCTACTACTACTACTACTACTAGCTGTGTGATTGAGAAGATTGAATTGATCCTGTATCATTAATTTATTGATCTTAGTTACAATTAATTGCTTTTCTCCTATAACTGCTTAAGTCATGGCTCTCTGTCTCTGAACTTAGGTCAGAATTCAACTAGCTTGTAATGGGTTAAGTTTAGAAATCCAGTTCTAATCCAGTTGCTAATCACTGATCTATTCTTGCCTCAAGGAATTTAAATTGCTTTTGGGGATGTGTGTGAATACAAAGGAGTCAGGCCTAACATCTTTACAATACCAAGCTATCCTTCAGGGATGTCTGGTTTGCTGTCCAAAAGTGTGGGCCACTATCTTACACCTGCATTCAAATAATGAGCACTTCTAAGTCTATGAGAGAAGAAGGGAGTGTCATTGCTAGGTCATTACCAGACTTCAACCAATCATGTTCCCTGCACCTCAGCTTTGTAACCAATCAAGTTGCCCTCAGTCTTGTGATGTCATCTACCCTGTTCTGTTCTTTGCTTTGCACTTCCCAAAACTTGTAAAAGGGGAACTGTACTTTTGCTCAGGGTCTTTGGCATAAATGGTGGCAATCCATTGACATATTATAATAAGTGTTATCTTGCTTAGAGAATGGTCTCAGTTTACCCTTTTGTTAAATTTCAAACATGGCATGACTTAGGGAAAGTCACTTAATCTTTCACCCTCAGTTTATACATCAGTGTTATGGGGATAATGATAACTATCTCACAGAGTTGTTAGGGTCAAGTAAAATGATATAAATAAAGTGCTCTGCAAATCTTCAATATTATTAAATCTTATAAATATTAGCTGCTATCACCCTCATCATCAGAAATGGCCTGTGTACCTGTCTATTCATTTTCTGTTAGGGTTTGAGGGAGGCAGAAGGAAGCAGATGTTGTGAATTTCTGAGGTACTTGCTTGTCATCTTTTGTCTATTGAAGTGTGGACCAACAGTAAAATGATGAGCATGGAAGTAAAACGGAGGCTGGAGGACTACATCACTAAAAAGTTGGTTTAAAGGATATGGGGGGAAGTTAAATACATATTTTATTGAGCTCAGAGTCAGAGTTCAACTCCTCCTGCCTCTGCTACATAAAGGATGTGTAACCCTAGGCAAAGTACTGCTGAACTTCCCAATATGTCATCCAACTCTCTAACAATAATTTCCAGAGTAGGTGCCAACCTGGACTGGTGGAGAGAATTTTTTTCCCTGGGACTTCCCTCCATTGAAATGAATCAATTAAATCACAGGTCTGACCTGGAAAAAAGTCAACCAAATAGACTCTTTGTGTGTAAGGCATAATGATATTTTCAAAACTGAATGGGCCAATGAGAGATTTTTATGGTATCATTTCCCTTGAGCAGGAAGACAAATCCATGTATTCTAACAGGACACCCAATTTAGCAAATTATTACTATACTGTCTATTGTGAACTATTTTCTCTCCCCAGCAGTTTTTCCTCCACAGGCGATGCTTTCCAGATGGACTTTGTGCAAAATTCTAAATTGTCTGGATTCTCTTTGGCTGAGAAAGCTTCTCTAACTTTATCCTTTCATCTTCTGTCTCCCCCACCCCCAAACCTCCCATCTCCTCTAGGGAAGAGAACTCCAAAGACGAAGGACAAGAAGAACAAGAAGAAGAAAAGGAAGTTAATAGAAAGAGCACAGGAGCAACACAGTGTCTTCCTTGCTACAGACAGAGCAAGCCAATAAAAAAAAGGACAGTTTTTCTTTTTTTTTTTTTCCTTTTCTGTTTTTTGGTGGATTTTTGTTTTGTTTAGTTTTTGTTTTGCAGAAGTGCACAAAGCTGCTCTCTCTTCGCTCGGCTCCTGCACACACCCGGGCACCGCCTTTATGCTGCTTTGACAGTATTGGTTGCAAGTAAGCTGTGACAGTGAAAGAAACCCACAAGTTTGGAGAGCTGGGGGTGGGGTGGGGGTGTTATTTATACTTTAATTTTAAGCGGGAGCCTGCGGAGATAGGAGCTCACTGAGGGTGCATCAGTGAGAGCAGGTGCAGAAGAAGCCGAATGAAGACGTTATTATTCCTTCAATGTCAGTGAGGGCAAGAGCCCAGGTGCCAGGCAGCGTGGAAGTCCTGTGGGCAGTGGGCTGCGAGGCACAAACACATGCATAGACAGACAATGGACTTGTGCATATTTATGTGAAAGAAGATACTTGGAGGTAGAAGTGTTATTTCATTTTTGACCTTTGTTTTGCATCTTGTGCATTTTCCAGAGGTAAATGTATATGAATATCTACTTAGTGTTAACCTATGTTGTTCTCAGCATCTGTTACCTTGAAACACTTGTATAGTAGAGCTGCTTTAAGCTGATGATATGCTCCAGGAATTACTGCATCGTTTCATGGGCATTCAGATGTGTACATATTATGCTGAGTCTAATATCTACTTATTTACTGTATATTTATACTTTCTTATGTATAACAAAGTATACCTGCTTAATGTTCTGTCATTTCCTTTCTAGTGGTTTCTATATGCATCTTCTAGCAAATGCTTTTTCCCCCTTCCCCTAGTTTTTGAACATCTTTTCTATGTTTTGTTGCCCCTTGAAATATCTGGAGTTTTGTTTCCCATCAGAAGGCTAGGATCAACTGGTGTGTTGTCCAATGACCAGTGTCAAGGATTTTCAATATGTGCCTAATCTTCCTGACCCACCCTTTAAATAGCGCAAGGCATCTGGCAATCACAGGCAAAAAACCCAGTTATTTCTCCCCTTTAGGAACCTCTCTTTAAGTTTTAGGTCTGTTATGACTCCTTTGTGAAACGCAACTGGAGCATGGGAAACTGCATGCACTAACTCCAATTTCCAGACATGCAACTTCACAAATAAAGACAGGTGGGGGGTGGGGAAATACTTTTTCTTTCTTTCTTTCTTTTTTTCTAATAGAAGCAATCTCAGGCCTGGCATGAGGTACTTTTACAAGATTGACTCCAATCACCATAGCAGACCTTTTAAGTTATCATCCTCAGGCCACCAGTGAAATTTGGGGACAATGGTGATCTAATTGTGGACACTGCTGGTCAGGTCACAAATCCTAGCAAGTTTTGGGGAAGCTGAACGTGTCATTTCAAACCTGGGACTCTGAGTCTGTTAGGAGATTCCCAAAGGTAATTGAATGCTCACTTTGTTGTGGATTTCTATGCTTCAGACTTTAGAAATAATAGCCCCCTCGCATCCTAACCCAACGTAGAAGATCAGAACATAAATAGAACATTCGCATATATTGAGGAAAACCTAGAGGAGGGAACCGCTATTCTCTCCCCAGCCCTCACCTTTGTATTGGCAAAACTACCTCTTTAGAATTTACAAATTACTCACTGTGGGGTCTTTGTTGTTGTTGTTTCTGTTATACATCAAATAACTCTGAAATAACACCTTACCAATAAGAATAAGAGTAAATATAATATCCATCTTTAAGTATCACAGAATATTATTGCTGTGAGATAAGCCATATATGAATGTTGTATAAAACTTTGGGATACTCATCAAATCCTAAGGTCCTCGCCTCCTTTCACATTTATTTAGCGTATGTTCCTGTTTAGTGGTAGGGGAGGAAACACCCTATATACTTGCAATGCTTTGTTGTTAATGAGACCAATAATTGTTCTGTTTTTGGGATGTTCTTTTATGCATTAAATCACTTCAAAAATACCAAGGGGGAGCTTTTTTATTCTTTTTTCAGTAAAATTTGTGGAGATGGACATCAAAACGTGAGAAAGCAATACATGGAACTAGTTTTTTTCCCAATTAAAATAATACAATATGGTCCAATGGGAATTGAATAGAAACTTTCTAAAATCTTGATTAGAGGATTTCTTGTCCAAAGTAATGACTTTTTTGTTACTGAGAGAAGGGTGACATAGAATCGCAATTTGTTACATCTGAGTGTTGTGCACTCAGGAATTTGCCACCAGGATGCTAGTTTGATGATGAGGTGCTGCGTAGAGGATAGTGAGTGGGTCACTAAGCTAGGAAGGCTTGGCTTCAGGTCCCATCTCTGACACAAATTGACAAACTGTCCGACCTGGAGGAAATAACTCAGGCTCTCACTGTGCTAGGCAACTCTCTGAGTTACACAGAAGATAAAAATCTGCATTAAAAGAGAAAGTTTCTTCACTTGGGAGTTTGCTACACCAGTGAAATCACACATTCAATCTCTATCCTTATCCTATTATCCAAGGGTAAGTTTTTAAAATTCTTTCAAAATTTTCAGTTTCTATATGAATGAGTGTGTATAAATATATAAAACTAAATATATTAAATAGTGAACATATGTTCACATAAGTACACTGAAGAAAAATAATAACAAACATTTATATAGCTTTAAAGTTTGTGAAGTGTATCCTCACAACAACTCTGTAAAGCAGATACTACTGTTATTTCCATTTGACAGATAAGGAAATGAGGCTGAGAAGTGGAATGACTTTCCCAGTCACATAAGTAGTGAAGTATTTGAGACAGGGTTCAATCTCAAGTCTTTCTGACTCCCAAATTCAGTGTTCTGTCCACTATACTACATAGCCAAGAGTCAATCATCTTCAACATGTTGCTTTTGGTATAGCAATTTTCCTCTAAAATCAGTCATATTCACAAAATAATTTATCTCCACTAGGCTTCTTAAATATTCATCTCAGTTAATGTTGTTACTATATCATCTAAAATTCAGTAAAAATCAGATGGAAGTTATTAAAACTTGATATTTAACCACGTCATGTATTTCCTTGTTGAGTCATTTTTAAGTAATGTCTGACTCTTAGTGACCCCATTTGGGATTTTCTTGGCAAAGATACCAGAGTGGTTTGCCATTTCTTTCTTCAGTCATTTTACATATGAGAAACTGAGGAAAACGGTGTTAAGTGACTTGGCCAGGGTCACACAGCTAGTAAGTGTCTGAAGCTAGATTTGAATTCGGGACAATCAGTCTTCCTGACTCCAGGCTTGGCACTGTTCACTGCACAGTCTAGCTGCTCCACTTTCCTCTATGGGCCTCAATAAACTGAGAGTTGAATTAGCCTTTAAGATCACATTAAGTTCTTCAGCTATGGTATGATCTGATCCAAGCAGGAATAGAAATGCCTAGATTATTCTTAGATATAGCTACTAGTGATACTGTGATTCAGATTATAAGGAGATTACATGGAAATTGTCTTTTCATGTTTAACTCTCATGTAGGCAAACAGCTATTCTGAATGGGAAGATATTGCTACTAGACTTGGAAAAGAGGTACTATAGTCCATGGTATTGGGAAGACTGAATCAGTGTGAGGGGCCTCACGAAAAGCCAGTTTTGTGAATAAAATTTCCCATTTTATTCTTCATAGCTGAAGTTTTTGTTTTTGAGGCACAAGTAGAGTAATTGGACACATGGACTCTGCATGTTTTATGAGAGACATCTGGAAGAAACTTCATGCTCAACCTCAACTATGTGGTCGCGTGCAGTCAGAATGGTGTGTGATTACTCCAGTTCAATTCTTCTACTCTTAGTGGGGTTTTGGGGTCCAAAGGGCAGGCAAAGGAGAGAGGAGCAAGTAAGATCATATATGTGAGGGTGCCTTGTGAACTCTAAGATAGGTAAAGTATTACCAATAATTAATATCATCATTGGAAGTAAAAGAATACTCTGGACACACTGGAGTACCTGGCGTAGTACCCTCTTATTTAGTGGGGTTCTTAGGCAACAAGAAAACAATCATCACACCACAGAAAATAACGATTTGGATTCTTGTCACTGGGGTGTCATTCAACCCTGCAGGTTAGAAAACTGAGTAAATTAATCAAGAAATTCTCATTTCATCTGATTTTTTAAGCATTTGCTGTGGACAAGGCACTGAGCTAGATGAGCTAGACAGAAAAATGAAAACAATTTTAATGCGCTCTCACAGAGCATTCTATTAAGGGAACAACATATACATAGATAAACACATATACAAAATCATTTCAGACGGCTCAGTGTGAGGAAGGCTTCATTCTGGGGCGAATCACAAAAGGCCTTATGTAAAAGGCCGAGTTCGGGCCAAGTAATGAATGAAACAGGATTTGATTGCTGTAGCATGCACAGTGGCTATACTCCACTAAATCGTCTTTGCAGACAGGCTAAACCAGGTTGAGGGTTAACCATCAGGCTTCGAACCTGTCAGTGACTTAGGGGGATGTCACCCCAAACATGTGAAGACTTCCCCTGATGAGAACAATTTGTTACAGTGGCCATGAAGGCAGCCGAAGCAGATGCTGAGGAACGTTTAGAGCTTGGTCAGAAGTTGAAGATGCCAAGGCCAATCACTGCAAGCCCGGGCCGTTGCTGGTCATCCTGACTTTTGTCTTGCTACTGGACTTTGATGACTCTGGAAGAGAGAGTGAGGCTGATGAGTTTTGTGCAACTCTGATTCACTTAAATCCAATTCACTTGGAAGTCATGACATCACCCAGTGATGTCATTGGTCCCCTTTGGAAATGAAGGACAAATAACAAAGTGCTTGGGCCGAGTTTCAAAGTATGCTAGGACTTCTAAGAGTGGGAGGTCAAGGAGAGGACTGATGAACTCAACAACCTCTGCAGAAATGTGAGATGAGGGATAGAATGCTGTGTGCAAAGAACAGCAAAAAGTCTAGTTTGGCTGAATCTTGAAGAGGAAGACTATATAATAAGTCTACAAAGTAGTCTGGAGCCAAACTGTGAAGGGCTTTGACAGAGGTATTTTTATTTTATCTTAGTGGCAATAGCGGATCACTGGAACTTCTTGTACTAGGGAGTGATATGATCAGAGAGGATTATCACTTTGGCAGCAGTATGGTAGATGGATTGGAGAGAAGAGCTGAGGTTATGGGCCGATTCGGAGGTTGTTATGATAGTCTTGGTGAAAAGCAATGAGATCCTGAACGAGGATGTTAACCATGTGAGCTGAGAGAAATCCAGCTGAGAGATTGTTATAGTTTTTCTATACACAGGAGGATAAAGGACTAGAAAAAACAATTGAAATTTTAAGAAGGAGCTGACAGACTCTAACATTGAAAGGATAGAATTACCTATAACATCAGAAGATGGTGAATGTCGACTTTGTCATCTGAGATCTCAGAGTAATAGAATTAGGGGCCACTCCTTGCATCATGAAGCCAAATCATTTGTGTAAATAGAAAACTACCACTTTTCACTGATGGGAGTGCAAACTTTGCGCTTAGTCCGTGAAGGTATGAAGTTGGATGATATAAATCTTTAAAGAATGGATTAAACAAATTCATTAATCAAAAAATCTTAGAGCCAGTGGACCTCAGAGGCCACCTAGTGCAACCTGTGCCTGAGAAGGAATCGCCTCCCTAACACCGAATGAATGGTCATCTGGCTTTGGCTTGAAGACCTCCATTCCAGGAACTCAGCCTGCTTTTGCACAATGCTAACTAGTAGAAAACTTTTCCTGACATCAAATCTGAACTTTCCTTCTTACAAAATTTGTCTTTTGCTTCTTTACTCCCAGCCATACTCTCACCAGGCAGCTAGGTGGTACAGTGGATAGAGTGCCAGTCCTGGAGTCAAGAAGACTCGTTTTCCTGAGTTCAAATCTGGCCTCAAACATTTACTAGCTGTGTGACCCTGGGAAAATCACTTAACTCTGCCTCAGTTTCTTCATCTGTAAAATGAGCTAGAGAAGAAAATGGCAAAGAAAAACCCAAATGGGATCAGGAAAAGTCTGATGTGAGTGAAACAAGTCAACAAATACTCAAACCACCTGTCTTGCTACAGGGCTAGAAACCTTGGTCTAGAGGACTTATGTCACCTAGGTGGCACAATGATTAGAACACTAGTCCTGGAATCAGGGAGATCTGAGTTAAAATTCTACCTTACCAGTTTTGTGACCCTGGGAAAGTCACATAATCTGTCTCTTTTCTCAACTGTAAAATGGGGATAATAATATCATCTGCCTTCCAGAGTTGTTGTTGAGGATAAAATGAGAGAATGTTTTGCAATTCTTAAAGCATTATGTAAATGCTGGCTTTTATCATTCTCCCTTTCACCCCCAAAAGCTCTTGTCTAGGGGCCCCCATTGTACTTTTCAATGACTTAACTAGGTTTACTCCATTATTAAGCATCAAATCTAGGACTTAAACTGAGACCATTCTAAGTCCAATTCCAGGGTGCTTTCCACTATGCCATGATACCTAATAATTCCCCTCAGGCATTGCTCAGCTCTGTTCATCTATTCTCATAGGAAACAATGAATAGCATCCCATATATGGAACTAGAAGCAAACTTAGAAGCTGTTTAGTTCAAATCTCATTTTCTAAATGAAACTGAGACCCACAGAGGTTGTTACATGCCCAAGGTCACCCAGGAATTGAGTGTCATGACTGGAATTCAAATTTATGTTCTCTTACTCCAAATCAAGTCAGGTTTTTCTTCAGACAGTATTCGAATATATTACATGTAAGCTGCTCTAACAGCCTCCAAATTCAACATTAAGCTCTCATTATGTGAAGAGTTCCTTGGAGAATTTTTTTTTCAACTGGACATATGTTTCTCTTATGGGCAGCAAAGTGGCACAGTGCAGTGCCTAGAGCTGGAAAGACTCATCTTCCTGAGTTCAAATCTTGCTTCAGACACAAACTAGCTGTGTCACCCTGGGCCTGTTTGCCTCATTTTCCTCATCTATAAAATGAACTA